AATTGAGATTGTGTGTTTAAGTGTGCACTACTAGTTTGTGTCTTTGAATTGTGGACCATTTTTTTTATTTCTTGCAAAATTATGGACAATTTTTTGTATTTCTTGCAAAATTGTGGATCATTTTGTTTACGCGATTGAAATGTCGGAATAGCGGAAAACTAGTAATATTAAAAATGGAATGACATAATTTTAAATATAGTTACAATGTCTGAATGGTGGAAAATTAGTAAACTAGTATTCAAAATATCGAAATGGCTTTTTATTTGAAATATAGCTTTTTATTAAATATATTTTAAATATTATTTGATATCATAAAAATTAAAATATYGAATGACATKATTTAAAAGACTTAATTTGTTATTTATCTACAATTTAATTTTCCAAAGATAAGTAAATTTAAAACGAATTGTTGAATACAAATTTCACAATCTTCCATGTATCACATTACACTTTTATGTATGTTTTGATAGTGTTGGTTACTTTATGATGCAAATACTGACAGGAATTATGATATTCAAAATATTTTGACATGGTAACTAAAGAAATATGTTTCTATTAACAAAAATAAGTTGTAAAACTTAAAATTTCTTTTTCATAGTATGGTAAAACTGAAAATTATCTAAATCACCAAAAGTACAACTATGAACAAATATGCACAACTAAAAAACTGGGTAAAACTAAGTGTAACTTGGTGTTACTAACTGTTAAATGACGTGCACCTGACTTAATTAGGTGTCATTCTCTGGTTGGGTTAGATCTCTTTGACGGTGCACATGTCAATTTTTTTTTTTCAAATATTAAAGGGTTTTCAAAGAGACGTTCTTTTTTTAAAAACCATAAAAACTGGAATATTATCATAAGCTTCCCCCAAAATCGGACGGTTTGCACGGGCTCGGATTAGGTATCGGATTTTCGATTGGGTTTCAGAATTTCGATTGGTTTTGGAATTTTCGATTGGGTTTCAGAATTTCGATTGGGTTTCGGATTTTCGATTACGAAACATGGGTCCTTCGTACCTTGAGAGCTTCATAGACGACGACTTCGATAATGGGTCCAACAACAACAACTCATCAGATTCGGATGACGAAATCATCCTCCCCGAAATCAGTCCACCTCGATTTCCTCCGAATCCGGTGACATGGGAGCCCTCACCTATTGGCATTCCGACCGTATGTTACTGTGGAAAACCGGCTGTGCTTAAGACTCAAACAATTGGGTTAGAGACTAAGACCAAATTCTACTCTTGTGCTAGTGATATTCGTGTAAAGAACTTATATCAGTTTGCTAAATTCCTTATCTTTATCATTTTACTAAATGTTTGTTGCATATCTAATTAATTGGAGCTTAGGATGGAGATTGCCACATTTACAAATTATTGGATGACGCAATCTTGGAGGAGATTACTTTAACCAAAACAAAATTGGGAGAAATAGAAGGTCGCCTATTTGGATTGCTCACCACTGTTGAAGAAGAGAAGAAGAAGCTTCAAGAACTAGAAAGTCGCCTACTTGGATTGCTCAGCACTGTTGAAGAAATAGAAGGTCGTCTTTAGTTATTTTAGTTATTTCTTCATCAAATTCTCTGTACTCTGCTCGAAAAAAAGTTTGGGGTTTTGAAATTTTCTTAATGTCTGTTTTAATGTTAAATGAATCGGTCCTTGTGGGGATCGACCTGCACACAAGAAGTGATCGATCCACTTTTGAATAATGTATAATGTCTTTCACGTATGGATAAACAATTTGCTTTAAACTTGTTTTGTATTATAATTCCCTAATGTCTGTATGACTTTATATTTTTCATACCGAGGAAGCTTGTAAGGCTAATGAGAATATCAATATAAATCATAACTTGTACGAGATAACCTATCCGTTCACAGTTTTACCTAGTTATACCAGTAGTACAACTAAACGTTCACAGTTTTACCTAGTTGTACCAGTAGTACAAACAGTTTTTCACATGTTTACCAAAAACAGAAACAAAGATAATGTCATAATGAGAAACAAAGTTAATGTCATAATCAGAAACAAAGGTAATAGATAGTTCAAAGGTAATCAGAAACAAAGGTAATCAGAAACAAAGGTAATAGATAAGTTCTCAATTCTTCTTCCCCTTCTTTGCTGGGTTCTGGGCCATGTAGGGAGTCCTTAAGGTTGCTGCTCGCTTCTTAACCCTCTTCTCACCAACTTCAGCTTGATCCTCTGGCTCCTTCGAGGCTTCGGCCACTGGCTCCTTCAAGGCTTCGGCCATTGGCTCATTAGTGGCTTCGGCCACTGGCTCATTAGTAGCTTCGGCCACTGGCTCCTTCGAGGCTTCGGCCACTGGCTCATTCGAGGCTTCGACCACATCCTTTTGTCCACCCCCACCACCAGAGCAATCACCCTGAGTCCAAACCCTAGTTCGAGGGCTATAATCATCACCACCAAAGTCACCTCTTTCATTGCATCCGTGAGAGTTCAGAAATGATTCCACACCCTTGATCCTTGTTTCAAACCCACCAAACATACTACTAATCATTTTAAAACCATCTTCCATGGTTTTATTCATCTTTACCAACACATTCTTTATCTCTTTGATTT